TTCCTCATCTGTATGCTCCGGCTCAAACAGGTATGGCTCTGGGTCTGTGTTTGCTACAAGAAACTCTTCAAAATCGCGTTCAAAGTCGTCCATTGCAGCTACTATAGTCCGGAGATATTGCTAGGCTAAATAAACAGCTGAGTTTTATTTACAGGCTACGTCTGTGCCTGCTCACCGGTGTATCCCTCCCTCTGCGGACGTACTGAAAATTTTAGTCATATGTCAATAACAGACAATAGGATAGCAGTAACGTTAGTCCTGTGTACCCTGCTGATTGGATTCAGTACAGCTAAAACCACCGTTTATTACTGAACAGTGCAGGTTACTGTTGGACGTAACTACGCCAAAACAACCAACAAACAAGAATTTAGCTGTAACTCCAACTGTGCACTGCTGCTCTCTCCTCCAGCTCACTCATACACACACCAGCACGCACACTCACACAGCCCTAGTCCCCGTCACACTTGCACCCCGCCCCCTACCTATACTCATTCAATCCCAAACATGCCATTAACTCAAAGAACATTGACATTATAACAGAACATTTACTGGTGAGTGTGGTAAGCTGTCAGTCAGTGTGCGGGCTGGAGATTGGTGGAGCAGAGAGGGGAGGGCTGCCCCGCTGGGTACTGTAAGTGAGTATGTGGGTATGAAGTGTGTGTGTTACGCTAGAAGAGTCAGAGTTTGGGACGGAGTCTTTTACCCCCTGGAGTGTTAACAGAGTTTTTGGAGATCTCAAATAAACTGGCCTTTTTCCCGAACGCTACTCTGGTCTCCTGCTCGTGAGTGATTCATTACAATATCACAACATGGTTTAGATTTCTAAATAAATATTCACCTCGTAGCTAGATAGACCTACTCCTGAAAAACTTGTGTCTGCGCAAGGCTTTTGGTCCTACGAGGCCACCGTCATTTACCTGACGGGAGGGGTGAGCGAGTGAGCCCTGCAATCTAGAATTTGACCACTGATGTTACTGTTTTCAATGGTTTTCAACCCATTTTACACACTGGCCCTTTAAAATGAGAAAGTTGGTCAGGCTGCTGGGTTCTTGGTACTTCAGCGGTGGCCAGGTCACAACCTTTTTTATTTTTCAGATAAACTGCACTGGCTGGTTGCAGGAGGCGGTAGGGAGACGTCCCTGCTGCTGCTCCACCACCTAGAGATGTTCTGGGGTTAAAGGAGCGAAACATCAGGGTGGCTTCCAGCTGATAACCCTGCAGCCAGCACAATGTCACTGTTGGAGGATGCGCCTGTGCTTAGGGCCTACATCTTTCTGAGAACATCTGAGTGAGAAATAGGCAATGCACTGCCAGAATCTTGATTCATATTTGATCAGCGCTGCCTAGTTTGACAGTTGGGCCCCATGTGAGCAGTGACTGACATAAAAGAGCAAACACGTGACCACACTCAAATAGAAAAAATGAATGAGGTGCCCGGCCACAAATTAAAAAAATAAAAACTAAAAAATATCAAAGGAGGCCTACACTCACAACTGTCCTTTTAAAGATCTTTTAATCTAGGCAGCAGAGCAAAAAACAACGGACGCGTTTCAGCTGTAATGCCTGATTTATGGTCCTGCGTTAAATCAACGACGTACCTACGTCGTTGCTGTGATGCCGTCGTGAACCCTTCGAACTTCTCTGTCACTCCATTTCATCGCGGTGCAATTCACTGCCAGAGCGGTAGGGGGCTGCGTTCCTTTCATGAATGGTTATCGTCGTTTCTAGTTGATTCTTTGTTTAGCTTCCAGCTTTTCCAGTCACAGTGAACAATGGCGACTGAGAGAGAGAATCTTGCTGGAGTTGGAGTTGTCGGATGTCAAAGAAAGTATGTTAATATTGCAACATCTACATCGCAACAGAAGATGTTTAAAGATGGCGGGGATGGCGCAATCTAGAAATACGGAACCGGAAATGCGTTGCTACCAAGCAAACCAATCACAGCCCTCTCGGTCTGTGCTGGGTCTGCGTCGCCTCGACGTGTAGTTACATTTTTTGGAAGGTGCATGTCAGGCTACGCCGGGGACTACGGCGAGCCTCCTGCGTAGCCACGTACCCTACGACATAGCGACGTCGTTGATTTAACGCAGGACCATAAATCAGGCTTAAGCCTTCATCAGCGTCCAACAGTGACTGACATGACTGAAAGCATTGTTAGACTCCTCGGCTCTGATTGGTTGTTTTCAGCGCACTGTGGTGGATTCAAATGCTAATAGAAGCAGTAGGAAGAGGAGGAGAGATGTGATTCATCTTTCTTTTGCACTCCTGTAAGGACATATAGTGATAGTTTCAGCAAATATGACACAAAGTTTTTTTCATAAATGTTACCAACTGTAGCTTTAATGTACCAAAAGTAAAGGTACTTATTACGCAGAATGACCCATTTCATAATAATGCATTAATGTGTTCATCACTTTAATGTTGCAACTGATAAAGGTAAAGCTCATATTTTGGTGTACACAGTATATACTGCTGGGTATATTATGAATATTACCAAGGGATCAATAATGCCTTATCTTAATCCATAATGATACAACATCATTTATTTGTCAAATAGATTTTCCCACTGAGATGTTGCTAAGTAAATATATAGTAGCAGAGAATGAAAACACCCAAGTAGAAGTACAAGTACCTTAAAATTGTACTTCAATAAAGTACTTGAGGAAAAGTACTTAGTTACTGTCCCCCACTGCTGTTAGATCGGGGTGGGAATGATCCAGGATATGATATCCTCACAATACTTAAGTCACAATACAATATTATTCCGATTGTAGATATGTTGTGATATGCTGAGTATTGCGATAAAATAATCACCATATAATGTGATTCATTACCTCTTCTCAACTGTAAATCATGTTCCCAAAGGAAAATGTTATCTGTTTTACCTAATAAGATATAGTTTTCAGTCTGTTCATCTCACTGCAGCCATTTTTTGCAGCAGCAGACTGTATCCAGTGGACTGGAAATGTAATTGAACTATTATTACTACTATTGAACTATTATTCTAGTAGGCTACCTGAAGTTTCATTTGTATTCGTCATATTAGTAATTTACGTGATAAAAAAATGGATACTTGGCACTGTGTGACGATATGACATTGCCACACAAAAAATATTGCAATACTATGTTGTATTGGTTTATTCCCTCCGCCCCCACTGTTAGACAGTGAATGAGGGATTTCAGACACAGCCCAAATCCAACCTTGTGGTTGTCCGTCTGGCTCCCAGCTCCAAGCTCATTGGTTCCTACTGAAGACGTAAATCTTTAAAGGTATAATTTGAAGAATTTTACTAAAAACAATGTACAGACTCATTGTTACAGCTCACGCTACAATGATGAAATTAAATTAAACTGAAAGGACTGTATACTTACTTTGACTCACTAAACTGAATATTATGACTGCTAAACCTACAAACTAATTAGAAACGGCGATGTAAAGCCACCGGCATACCTCTATGTATAATATTATATGTAATTTGGAAAGGTGGACACTCTACTAAATAACTGGGGGAGGGACACAGGGATAAAGAAATAACAAACTGTACCTTTAATAGAAGCTAGATGAATAGACACACATGAAATACAATACACAATATTATTCTAACTAAACCCTATACTAAATGGCCTAAGCTAACTATGCTAAGTCCCTATGCTAATCCTATGCTATGGTACCAGATGCCCAGGGGTTGGAGCTCGTGCAGCGATGATGTCCAGGAAAGATGAAAGTCCCACGTGTAGAGGGGGAGCAGGTCAAACTGAAGATGAGGGGGTGTGACTGTCCGTCGAAGGAGCCGGCTAGCTAGCTTAGCTCTAGCTAGCTAGCGACTCTCAGCCGGCATTGATCTGCACACCAGGCAGGAACAGTCCCGAAAATCCTCTTCACGTCTTCTTCAGCAACCAACGGACGGCAACACCGGCTTTCACCCACAGACACGGCTCCACTCTCTCACTCACTCCAACGTGTCCAGACACTCACGCAGGCATACACACATCAAAGAGCTCGCGCGCAGATCAAAGAAAGGCTGCAACTACACTAGCGCCGACAGAACTACAGCATCACTATTTAGACACGCAACATGCGTTACAGACAAATATACATACAAATATNACTCACGCAGGCATACACACATCAAAGAGCTCGCGCACAGATCAAAGAAAAGGCTGCAACTACATAAACGCCGACAGAACTACGGCATCACTATTTAGACACGCAACATGCGTTACAGACAAGTATACATACAAATATATTTGGCATGAAGATAATAAACTAAATCAAAGTGAGAAAAAAGAGAAACCTAGCTGGGCGGGGGCAAGGTTATTTCCTATTCCTTATCTATTACTCAAACTGAGCTTAACTGAACTAATCTAAAAGTGCTTCTGGACCGTTGTAATACTCATGCTCTTATTTTCTTCATATTTTGCTGTGTTCATGGTGTTTCAGGGCACAGCGTGCAGATGAAGTCGGGACTTTATAAAAAGGTAGCAGCCAGGTGCCAGACTGTAAGCAGCATGCAGCTAAGAGGAAGCAACTAAAATTGCAGACACAGAACTGAAAAGGGAAATAAATCCGGAAATAAAGCAAACAGCTCCTAAATATAGTTTAATTTTAAGGGGTAACTCCTCAGATTTTAACCTGACTCCTATGGTTTAGTGTGGGGAGTATATGTATATGAATGACATTAAAATCCTTAAAATAAAGTCTCTGCTTACAGCTACTATAAAAAATAAAACAAAGTGTCATCTTGTGGAACCTGTTTTGGACTACAAGTTGTACTTCCTCCTTTTTTGTAGGCCCACCTTTTAGGACAGTCAAAGTCTCCAACTCTGGGACTTCTTCCTGTTAGATAGGGAGCAGCTGACACCAAGATACCAGAAAACTACCTTTACGATTTAATGTTGGGATCAGACAATCAGCTGACGCCAAATGAAGCCAAATATAAAGCTGTGGCATCAGAGGCAGCAGTGTATGGAGGAGGAAGCAGTTGCCACAGCAGTCACACGGCAGGGGTCCACTGGAAAGGTATTTCTGGATCTCCCAAACAAATGTCTTTGCTGTCATCAAATTAGAGCAGAGTTTTTGCTTTAAAAGAGTGGAAGTCCCACTTTGCCAATATCCAGTGTCTGTGTGGGCCATGGGTTTAGCACAGCAGAGAGCATGAAGACAGGTCTTGTTTGTAAAGCTGTGTACAAGTTTATGAAATAGGCCCATTTATGTGTTTTTAACGTAGACTGTGTAAATATGGCCAAAACCACTGTGATATCACCTATTGGTTCATGGACATCTGTTTGAAGCCTCAAGTTTGGTATATTGGCATTCGTCATCTTGGATTTTGGGAGCAAGAAGTAAACTAACCATATTTGGTGGACATAACTCTAATGCTAGCTGCTAGCTTGGTCAGAATGGTAAATTTACAGCTATGGTTAACTGTGAAAAACCTAATGCTATTTTTTTCCAGCTTAAAACCATTTTAGAAAATGTACTTAATGGAAAAACATAATATCGGACTCCTTTTAGTACAACAAGACTTTTTTAGGCAACCAAAATGTTCCAATTAACTTTCATGAACTGAAAACACACAGAAATAGCAAAAGCTACAGCTACACTCTGTGAATCTGGAGTTACATCATTGTTATGTTATCTAAGAAACGCTGTTGCTGCGGTAGCAACTTTACCACCCGTACATTTGTCATTAACAGGAACATTAGCTAAAAAGACCAAAACGGTTTTTGTGCCAGGCTGTAAACATGTTTATTTCTGCTGTAAAGTTGGGCATTTTAACATGGGAGACTGAGGATTGACTTGCTCTTGGAGCCAGCCTCAAGTGGCCATTCAAGGAACTGCAGTTTTTGACATCTACACATTGATTTCATTTTTCAGCCCCATAGTTTGCCGCCTTTTTGATACACACACAGTACTACACACAGTACTTGTGAGAAGATACATTCTTTATCAGTTTGGATCTGCACACAGGATTGGTTGACAATTCCTCTGCCATCTACGTCAAGTCACTGCAATTATGTCACCAGCTTTTTCCAACCCTTCTTGTTTGTTGGTCTCTTCTGTCCATCCATACTGTCCTTTCTCTCAGGTATTTCCAGCCCTTCCAGTTGTGTCTCGGGGCGATGGTGGTCACCGTGTTATTCCTGGGCTTTGTTTGGGTTGCAGAGAACCAAGCTCCCGTTCGTCGCTTCCGCAGAAACCACCCATCAATCTCTGTGTTTGCCATACTTTCTGCAAGTTACCTCTTCATATCAGTGCTGGGAAGTGTGGCTGTGTTCCTGTTTGGGATAGCCTTCCCTGTACTGTGTAAGACAGACACAAACACACACGCATGAAAATCACACCAAATTATGAAATAAAGTTAACCCTCTTGCCTGAAGACACTAGTTTGGGGCACAAGCCAAAATAGCACATAAGACATGCTGATGCAGATTGTCATCTCCACAAAAATTACATATAATTACAGTCATATTTTACATGTAGGTGAATAGTCAGTTCATCTATGCCACAAAGACATATTTTTTAACCTCTCTGTAGTGCTATGTATCCAGCCATGCAGAACGTTTTGTTTTTATTTGCCCCAGCTTTGAGAAATACACCGTTGAGACTTCTGCTGGCACCAACATGCATTGCATTCTGTGCAATGAAAAGCTTGAAGATGTATGTTGTGTGCACAAAGTGCAGGACAAGTGTTTATTCATTTCTTTCCTTTTATGGTAAGAAATCTATTATGTGCCATGAAAAGTGCACCGTGGTGCATTATGCACAGTGAGGCAATGCATTTTTATAAAATTTCAAATAATAGTAAGAGTAGCATGATCAAATTAGGATCAATGATGATGGATTTTCCTGATCAACTTTACCTTACCTCACCTTACATGGTAAATTCAGCATTGCATTTCCAAAGCACTACGTTTATCCATAGTGGTCATCTGCTAATCATTTCCAGTCTTAGCTTTGCAGTTTTTTTTTCATCACTGTAAAGCTATCATCAGTGGAACAGCAAAGTGGAAGAGACTGGAAATAATTGGAGAATGACAACAGTATTCTTTTAACATGGGTAGATTATGAGATTAAAGGTCCCTGGGCAATGACATGCAGAAAGCAACACCACCTCACCTCATAGAAACAAAACAGACTTTATAGTGGTTAGCTTCTATTTGTTGTTTTGTGTCCCTTTGAAGACATTGCGCATCTTGCTGTGGTTTTGTGTTGCTTTGTTGTTTTCTGTGTTTTGTTTTTTCCATAGCTGTAGTTGTTTTGCCCCCTTTTGTAGTAATTTTGAGTCTCTTTGTATTTGCTTTTTGTCTATGAAGTTAGTTTGTGTCTCTTTCTGGGCATTTTGAGTCTTCTGTGGTTTCATTGTCTGTCTGTCATCCCTTTGTGTCTTTTTGTAGTTAGTTTGTATCTCTTTGTAGTCATTTAAGTCTTTTTGTAGATAGTTTTTGATTCTTTGTAGTCATTTTGAGTCTTTTGTAGTTGCTTTGTGTCTCTTTGTAGTCATTTTGAATCTGTTTGTAGTTGCTTTGTGGGGGAGGCACTTAAGAAAGTCCTGTCTCTAATATGAACTTGTTTCACATTAAGGCCTGGTTCTTACTGTATTTGAGGTAAATAAAGGCTCTTTCATCCCTCTGTGTCTCTGTGGCTCCTTCACAGTGGTTCTGGTCCATGCATCGGTAAGGCTGCGCAGCCTGAAGAACAAGCTGGAGAACAAACTGGAGAGCATTGGTCTGAAGAGGACACCCATGGGACTCCTGTTAGAGGCCCTTGGACAGGAACAGGAGGCTGGATCCTAGAGAGAAAGAGGAGATGTGCAGGGGTGGGGGATCATTTGGGTGCCATCTGAGGTAAATGACAAGAGAAATGGAGGTGAAGTGGGTGTGAAATGGTGGGGAGAAGGAGGGAATTGCTGCAGGGATAAAGGAAGAGTCAGGAACACAATGGCAGGTTTGGTTTGTTAAAATGAATTAATTGGAAGTCTACAATGAAGGAAGAGACCTCGTCTGTGGTCCAGTGGTGATAGAACAGATGTAAAGCATTGAAATCATCATAACAAACAAATGAAGGAATCATCCCTGTTCTGATTTTGCACTTTAAGCACACATTGTTTTCTTTGTACAAGATACATTTCTGTGTTCACACTACACACTGTCAGTGTGCAGTAGCCATGTGGCCGTATTTGCTTGAGCCATGATATGGTAGATTTATTGTGTATCTACACATTGGCTTGTACTCCTTTTGTGTCTTGGTGATGCGTACTGACGCATTGTTATCTAAACATTGATCTGCACTCCATCTCAATGCCTGTGGAGCGTTGGTGTAAATAACATTCTAATTATGCAAAAAAAAGGTCAAAAGATTTTGAAAATACTTGTAATTTTGCCAATAAATACAGCATTATTTTGTAATGTTTTTACTTTTTATGTTAAAATGCAATTTAATTCTTGAACTATTATTAGCCTACCTTTTTTTTCTGAAAATTACAACTCTACTCTAAAAGCATTGTATTGTGGAAGTTTGCCTTTATTCTCACAATACAATTAGTTTTTCCCATCAAAATTACAACTTTATTTTCGTAACATTACAGCACTTTTCTCATAGGAATTTGACAAGACCCTCGGAGGGCCTCCATACACTCCATATGCACAACAGGACATCCCCAGTATTGATACTGTACCATGGATGTGGTAGTTGTTGTAGTAGTAATAAGCTTTTTCATTCTCTCATTATAATAGGCGTAAAGAGAAACACAACATATGGAACCACCAACCCAATCACCAGAAAAAATGTTGGCATTGTACTGTCTGCAAACCACTTTCTGAATACGTTACATTTGCATGTTATTGTGTCGCGGATACGTTGAAATTTTTCATTTGAACAATGCTGGGGTTTATATGTGGATAGGTTTAGGCACAAAAAACACTTATGGTTAGGAAGACATCTTGTCTTGGCTTAAAATACCGACCTTTTCCTGCTGTAAAAGCTGCAATGTCTCTAAAAAAAAAAAAAAACAAAAAACGCTTTTCACACTACTATACCTGATGGAAAATCAGCAACGATTTGCTAAAAAAAAAAAAAAAAAAAACATATGACAGGCAATCCACCATACCCTCCACCTCCCAATGACATGAACAACTCATGTACTACATCACTTTAGAAATGCTGTGAAACGTCTAAATTTAAAGGATAACTTCGGTATTTTTCAACCTGGGCCCTATTTCCCCATGTGTATGTGTGCGTATGATTCATAGGTACAACTTGTTTTAAAATTGGT